GTAGGGCCCCATAATGTTCATGCACAAGAAGACGGGTGGATGAATTTAGGCGGTGAATATCTGATCGCAGAAAGTGGACCATGGTCAAGCTTCTCCGTGAGAGTGATACCTGCTGCAACCGTTGTCCGGGCTACGTTCGAAAATTAAAAAAAGTATGCGTTTGGGTACCTCATTCTCGGTAAAAGCACGAAGGCAGAAGTGGTTCTATGCTTGTAGCATCGATCTTCTCCACGTGATATGTCACTGACATTTGTGAAAGAGGACTTTGCCTCTAGAGGAATGGGTGGTCTTGTACGCGGGCCGGAATTCACAGGAGGAAGCTGCCCGAAATTCTGGCATGAGGAGCTGCGTGGGCCCAAACGGATAATCGTTAACTATATATTTCTGCATTGTGGCCTTCAAGAAGCTTTACACAGAGAAAAAAACCGTCACTGTTGGTGTATATTACCTGTTTCTGGACAAACAGATTCGACAAAAAGGATCAACCACACCTTTAGGAAGGTCAGGTCCCGAGTAACCGTATTATTGGGCACTGCTCGCACAGAGAGAATACTGAGAGCTCGGATCAATCGCCTTATTCGGCCGACATTACAGCCGTGCCATTTCAGTTGTCCTAGTAGTGGAGGTATTGTCCAACGGCAAACGCGGCGACAACATGTCGATCGCCTGAACTGGCGTGAACATCCATTTACTCGCAATTATCCAAAAAACAGTGCCAGCGCGAATGCTCCGCATGGGGGTCTTTCATTGATAAAGAGGGGTTAAATCACCTCAAGGCCATAGTATTACTTTTTTTTAACTGTTTTCCTCCTCTCTTCGTCTGAACAAAGTCTGCCACGTTCCCGAATGGGATGTCTCAATAGATCGGATCCTGCGCTGTCATCCGAAGTCCCTTCCTTAGGATCCGGTGGTAGTCACGTTCCGTCACTTTCCTGTCTAGTCCGTAGAATATCTCACACGAACTCAGTGCTTCCGTTGTTCTGTGTGTTCCTTTTACTTTTTATCATAACTTTTGCAGACACTACACTTGCTTATTGTATACTACATCTCCGCTTAATTGTATTGTAGACCACTCTGTAGAGACAGCAAGATTGCAAAAACACTCCTACGAGGATACGCGAAGAGTCCAGAAAAGAGTTCATGCCGTTTATCTTCGACTGTGGTCCTGCTGTGGGTGACGTTCGTTTGCTTAGTAATAGCCAGGCACCCTTGTCATTCACTTTTGAGTAGTGCAAGCAATCTAAGTTCTGTAGCAGTGAGCACGCGGAGTAGCTGCCTAGCACAATGAAGATATTCCGCTGTTGAGTAAGTGCGGAATGTCGCTCTAACCTCAGCATAGAAGAGAAGGACTCCATAAATAAGAA